TTTTTTTTTTACGGTACTTTGGCTTGCAAAACTGTAGTTTAGGTGGCAAATTGCAATGGTAATACCAAATTTGCCACAATTTGTATTTACAGGCATGTCTTTGCAGTTTTCGCTGGCAGTTTTCGCTCGCAGCTGTTCTTTTCCCTCGCAACCGCAATGAACAGGAGTTGCTAGCCAGTTGGCATTGACCTTGGTCTACGACTGCAGGAGTCATCTTCAAAAACGCTCGTGTAAGAGATTTGCAATGAATTACATAATTTCTCCTGTGGCGTTGGAACTCTGCCTTTACGAGTTCGGGGGATTGCCAACAGGGAAACAATATCAGTTACAGACGGTAATAGTAGGAGAAATGACAAACGATTTGTTTCTTCAATAGAAAGCTAAAACCAAATTCTTCAAGTACAGACTTAATCTCTCGTTTGACCTGCAAAGGTCTGCAGTAACCTAACGTAAATTGAGATAGCATTGCAACAACTGACAAATAAAAACTACATGAATTCTGAAGTGTTGGAAACCTGATTGTTTGAGGTAAAAATTCAATTTGTGTCTATTTATCGATTGATATCGATCCCTAGCACGAGTTAAAAAAGTTGTGACGTTGGTCGGTTTATTTACAGCTTCCTGTTTCGGTATAAAGAGCTGAACTCGGCGGCTGAATCGATCTTTTCCTTTTTCCGGTTTCCATGAATGATTCGTCAGAATTTCACGGAGATATTAACTACATTATTTTCAAACTGGAAGAAGAAGAAAAGCCGGGAGGAAGAAGAAGAAAAAACAGGCTTTCGTCCAACTCGTGCGTGGCAATGTACATCACTCAGTAACTATAATCATGACTGTATATCAGTAAAAGGTTAGATTGTAGGGTTTATGCAATAACAATCAACGCATAAGCCGATTTTCAAAATGAAATAAAGTAAAAGAGATTCAACTGCGCTCCTATGAAAACAAGCATCATTCGCTGGAAAACATTTAAATGCGCAATGCTGAAACCATTCACAGTATAAGCTTTCGTGAACATTAAACACTGGAATATAATTCGATCGGAAATCAAA